TTCTGTTGCTGATATGGTACTTGAGGATATGGAAATTTTAATTCCATCTTCTGTGGTGCCCATCGGAGGCAGATTCCAGCCATAGTTTGGTCGCTCATGTACCTGCTACCAGCACTGGGCTAACGACATCTTTACATTCCGAGACGTTGATGTATTGAGATGTAAACACCAGCGCTCTTCAAAAGAAGTATGATTCCACCTCCAGGTTCTTCAAAATTCATTGCCAAGGCAAGGTCAAAGCACATCAGCGAAGTTGGTGAGAGGCTAGTTCGCTTTCCTTCGGTAACCCGTGCATTCTGGTCTCTTGCTAAGGCTGTCCAAGGGAACTTCTGTCAGCCATCTCTGTAAAGAGAGGGTGACTCACTGAGTCCATGCCACAAAGGAGAAAGCCGATTTGTTAATCTCTCTTTTTGCGTCCAACTCGACTCTCGATAACGGAAGAATACACCACCGACCATCCCGTGGTTTGAGTGCTCCATGCCAGATGTGCGGCTTATACAGCGCTCGGTTCCCTTCCATTGTGCTGAAGACGTATGCTCCGAAGTTGGAACCTGTTTTAACGCGTCTTTTCCGGTACTTCTACTCCTAAGGCGTTATCCCAAATTCATGGAAGACAGCTTTGGGTCACCCAATCCCTAAAAAAGGCGACCGCTCAGACCCTTCAAACTACAGGCCTATCGCCATCACCTCCTTGTTCTCCAAAATAATGGAATCTATACAGTTTTCGTCGGGGTTGATCAGTTAATCTTCCGGTCTATCTAACTCACATATGGGCGGAGGCAGTAGAGTCCAAGAGGTAGGCATTGGCCATTAGTTTGGACATTGCGAAGGCCTTCGATCGGGTTTGGCACAAAGCGCTTCTTTTGAAGCTCCCTTCCTAAAGGCTTCCCGAGAAATTGTGCAATTGGATCACGAGTTTTCTTGCTGATCGGAGCATCAAGGTCGTAGTAGTCGGTGCATGCTCTGATTACAAGCCTGTTAACGCTGGTGTTCCATAAGGCTGCGTGCTATCACCAACGCTGTTTCTACTGCATATCAATGATATTTTGCAAACTGGTAACAACGACAGCACTGGTGATGCAATATACATCGGCCGTGCCAATATTTCTCGGGAAACGTCTCCGAGTACCGGAACAAAAGTAGAGTAAAGTAAAGTTGCAGCCTTTATACGTCCCACGGCTGGGCACAAGCCTCCTCTTATTTCTGAGAGGGTTTTAGGGCAAGTAAATGTCCGCCGCGCTGCCCCAATGCTTGTTGGCGAACTTCATATGTCTTCGAGATATATTTTTTTTATTTCTCAGACATGCAGGTTTCTTCACGATGTTTTCCTTCACCGCCGAGCCCGTGGTAAATCGGCACTTAAAATTGCAATTAATAATTTCATTGGAGCCGGCGGGGATCGAACCCGAGTTTCTCACGTACTGTGAGACTTACAGCGAGCGCTAACCATCTGAGCTACCACGGCGCTACCGTAACAAACTTGTGTCTGATGTCAATTCTTTGCTGAGCAAAGTCTCGGATTAAGGGCGGCTAAATCTAGTCCAGTTCAATCCCCAGAAGACACAAATTTGCACGTATACCGCTAAAAAGAACCCCTGTGTCGTATCTCCTCAGTTTTAAGGCACTCCCTCACTGCTTCAACTAGCATCGGCATCCTCGGCGTCGACATATCGAATAGTGTGCAGTTTTGGGGTCACTTGGAAGGGAATGCCAAATTGGCCTATAAAAAGCTTGGCGTGCTCAGCAGAGCGAGGCAGTATTTCATGTCGGCACATCGCTTGCAACTTTACAAAGCGCAAATTCGGCCTCTCATCTCTGTGACGGGGCACGCCAGTGTCAGCTCCTTCCACTTGACCGCATCCAGCGCATAGCGGTTCGAGTCGTCGACGTCCGAATTCTTTCTGATCGGCTCGATTGACTGGCACTGCGTAGGGATGTTGCATCTCTGTGCATTTTCTATCGAATTTACCACGGGGAGTGCTCTGAGGAATTGTTCGGTTTAATTCCAGCCGCCAAATTTCAGGAACGCTCATCGTGTCAAAATTCACGATATCGTGACCTCACCATCTAGATGTTTGACGGGCCACCACTATGCGTTTTACTAGGAGTTTTCTTCTTCGCACAACTTCTCTGTGGAATTGTTAACCATCGGCGATTTTCCCGGGCCGATACGACTTAGGGACCTTCAAGAAAAGAGCTCACTCCTTTCTTAAAGGCTGGCAACGCACCTGCAATTCCCCTGGTGTTGCGGTTGTTCATGGGTAGCAGTAGTCACTTACCATCACGTGACCCGCATGCTCGTTTGCCCCCTTTTCTATAAGAAAACGTACGACGAGAAAACCCAAAAATCTAAGTGCTTGATTTAGGGCTCAATACGACTATCACGGTGGTTTCTAGAACACTCATTATACCCAAATTAATCCAATAACGGTACTTGGCACGACCTGGGACACGATTTAAGCCCAGGATCAAATCATAATTCACAGTCGCGCTAGTAACCACATACAGACAGACAAAATTATATACTTTCATGATATGTATTTAGTAAAAATCTGTTATTTTGACGTTACGAACAGACACTTCAATTTTATTTATTTGAATAGTTTCGTATTCGTAAAGAATGAAAGTTTGTAAAAAATTCGAAAGTGATTACTATATTATTTTGATCTTGAGGCGTCAGAAAATTTGGCTGCACTTTTAATAATTCTCTTTTATAACTCAATACATGATCGTAGATATCAGTGTGATTTATACTGATGATCTAGTTAATTGGGAGTTATTAATAATTACTTTAAATGAAAGACAGGATTTTTTAGTGTATGTATTTGTTTACAGTCGACAGCAAAGTATAGCCGAATTTAATCAAAATGATTCGTTAGATTCAAATTATTCTTCTTTATTAATTTCAGTATCAGTTAATTTAATTTCGTCTATGTGATTACCTTGCACTCTATTTAGAAAAGCTAATATTTTTATTAGCATCTTGTACGCACAACATGATAACATTTGCTCCAATTCCTCATTAATGAGATGTGAAAAATGGTAATTTCTTTTGTTAGAATTCTCTGAATATAACAAATAATTTTTATCGTGTTTAGACATGACTTCTAGTTAAACTTTACACCTCAGAAGTGGTCATTATTAATTTTGCAAAGACGGAGGTAGAGGTTGGTCGTAATTAGGAGCTTCTGAATTTTAAAAAAAAATCTGGTAATCTGCCTCACTTTAGTCCTAAAAAGAACAAAAATACTATAACATATAATTTCATAAACTTTTAAAAATATTGTGTTCTGTTAAGAAAGTTCATCATTTATTGCGATATATTACTAAAACTAATGACATTGAAATAAAGATGCATATCGTAATTTTAATAGAAAACGTTAAATATAGTTAAAGTCAATTTAAATATATAACGTCAAATTAAACTTGATATCGAAACTTAATTTTAAAGTGAAGATAACGCATAATTAATTGAAACAGAACTTACATCTGTTATTTATAATACGAACGTTGCTGAAAGATGAAAAAATATGAGGGAGTACGTCACAAGTGGCGTTGATGCAATGAATATATCGTGCATGTGTCTAAAAACCTCGGGAATTAAACAGAGGCAGCCGTACAAAGATGGGTGTAAGCGGGGTAAGGGAGAGGGGGACATTACAAAACTTAGCTTTAACCGGTTAATTCTTACTACCTAAACCGAAATTTGTGAAAACCGGTATTCCGCAAAAACCGGTTTTGGGGTCAATGACCGAAACCGGTTTAGAATTTCAACCGGTTTCCGAGCCCTAATACTAATAATTGGTACGGCGTAAATGGGATGGGTGGATAGCTTTTCCATAGTCGTCTCTTATATCACACTAATGGAAGGAAATGACAAAAAAGAAAATGAAGTCGCTTACTCAATAATACGCACCCCCAAATCTAGTTTATGTGCGTAGTGGACGTAAATGCCAAAAATTCAACCATGCATAATATGGTCCTTTGAGCCGGATACTTGAATCTGTCAATGTTCGCAGATAAATCTGATCTCATTTTTCTTTGTTAAAGATAGCTTGTAGTGCTATTGACTGTCCTGAGACTTTGTCTCAATTACATCTTAGCTGTTCTGTCTAACCTCTTAGATACAACACACTTTTAAGTGTCCCGTTTGTATCTACATACTATAGATAAAATACATTTATTTGACGAGCGAGCAATAATTTTAACAAGCTAGCCAAAGACTTCGATTTGTTTAACACTAGCGCTGTTTCAGCCAAGCGCATACTTAATAATGCATTTTTTATTATCTCTTAATGAGATTGATGCGTATGTTATTAAACTAACGTTGTAGTATTTTATCTTTGTGCTATTTTTTTTCTTTTATACGTATATTACATGTTATATCAGTTAAGCCGTCATTTGGTATAAGTATTGTTAGTATTAGATACCTTTAGTGTTGAATCACGTTTATCACTGTTGTAAATTCACATTTGTATCTTACGATCTATCCTAATTATTATAGCTGTTGGTCTTTCAAATAAAATGAAATAATATATAATAAAACATTACTCACTCAGTGTTCCTGTCCAGCGAGTGAACATTTTTTTTATAGGATGTGGGTGACAAACGAGCACACAGTCCGCCTGATGGTAATAGGTTGCTGCGGCCCATAGACATCTACATCTATTATCGATTACGAATCAAAATGCAGATGCGTTGTCAAACGTGAGGACTAAGATGTAAAGCCTCGTTCGAGTGAAAAGGGTCTCCGGTTCTCTACACTCACCATACGAAACACAGCAGCGTTAAGCTACTATTTTACGTTGGTATTCTGTGAGAGCGTGGTCCTTCCTTCCAGTCGAGCCGACCAATTCGTGCTACTACTAATATAGCTGCAGCATGACTACTACGTAAAAAAGACTTGATTTGTTTGAAATTATGTTTACTTCGCGGTTAAGGCAAGTATTTAAATATAAAATGGTCGTTCGAGCCGGATTGACCAGTGTAGAGGATTGCAGATTTGGCTGACGGGTGTGGAGGGCGTATGCCGCGAGCGCGCGGCGGCGTGCGTGTCGCGCTGCGGCGGCGTGCGGTACGACCGCGCGCACGAGCGCGTCACGCACGCGGCGTGCGGCACGCGTGCGGCGGCGGCGGCGGCCGCGCGCGCACTGCCCGCCGTGCCCGCGCTGCACGCGCTCTGGCTGCTGCGCAGCGTCGAGGCACAGCGTGCGCTGCCCGAAGCCGATGTAAGTTTCAAACTCTTTTTAGTTTTTAGCTCTGACTGTCGTAGCGTGGAGTCACAGCGCGTGCTGTGCCTCCACGCTACCACATAACATTATTTGACATAATATTATTTGCATGCCATCAAAACATGAATAAAATATTTGTCTATCAGTCTGTTTGTCCAGCCTAACATTCGGAATAGCTGAACCGATTGTGTTCTTAGCTTTATATTTTACTTGAAAAACTTGGAAATCTTTTTCAATGAAATAATAAATGGTCATTGATGATTATTTTAATAATATAAATGACGTGACTTACCTCCGGCTTCTCCTACCCAGAAGAAGCCAGAGCTGTTCTCTAGTTTATTATAAAACTGTTATTTAGTCAAACAGCTTTCTCACATTAATAGCTACTTATATAATTCTTTATTTTGTTGAATTATACAATTTTAAAATTTTCTTTAACAATTTATTTATTACTTTAAAATAATTGGCCAAAGAAATAGTTTGAAGAAAATATATATATAAGCCCGGGGTATGAAAATTTATGGGAAGTAAAATCTAACGTTACGTCATGCGTTACGTTATGTTATGTATTCATGTTTCCATGACTACGTAATGTCGTGCGAACTTATCTTGCGCAGTCCCCAGCACAGAGTACTCTCAAGCTGTACTACTTTATATAAACAAATAATCGTTCTTAAGGAGTAAACTCCAGTCGTGTGACGGAGCTGACACCCACACTTTTATTTAGTAATGCCACGATTACGCATAATAATTATCGTTTATCTATTGTCATAGTTAACGTAAAACAATATAACAAAAAAAGGATGGAATTCTTCATTTGTGGTTGTGGGCCACATGAATGTAAAATAAGACAAACATTATTACCCTTTTTAAGACAATACATTTTGGATCGTTTATTACATCTCCATAGTTTTTTCCATGTCATAGTTCGTAAGCGGGTTGACAAGAGCGATTTTTAGTGTCAAAAAGATGTTTGTGTCCGACTTCTGTTTCAATTCTTTCTGTCGCATCTTACGATACCCACGGGATGACTTAAAACATGAGTAAAAATTAGATACTTAAAAATTACAGCCTATATACGTCCCACTGCTGGGCACAGGCCTCCTCTCATTTTTGAGAGGGATACCACATATATATTGATGTATTATATTTTTTGTATTTTTAGAACGGCCATTAGTCTTACTAAAGGCTATTTTAAAGTTATGTATAAATTATCGGACACGTGATATAATATATATATATGCTTTTAAAGTTCTTAATAGACGTGAATCCAGCGACCCCGGCTAAGTCAAGCGCACGCAAAGCGCACGTCGAACCCGCGTCCCCCATGAGCAAGCGGAACCTGCAACTACTGCGCCACGTGCCGCTGGATTTGCCGCCACCCACACCGGAACTGCCCGAGCCTCAGGACGACCTCGTCAACCATTACTTGAGCCGTGAATATTCTTTTTAACACGCTTGTATTAGCTTCCATCTATCTATATATCTATATATTTGAGTGGTAGAGACATGCTGCAGCTATATTATAGTTTTAGCACGAATGGGTCGATTCGACCGGGGATGTACCACACTCTCACAGAATACTAGCGTAAAATAGCCGGTCAATGCCGTTTTTTTTCTTATGGTGAGTGCAGAGAACCGGAAATCCTTTTTACTGGATACAAGGCATTCCATCTTAGTCCTGAGGGGTGACAACGCATCTGCATTTTGATTCTTAATAGAGGATGAATAATTTTATAACTTTATCTTAGGATATTAGTATCCTGATCCCGATCGACTGACGGATGACGAGTCTTTTGTTGATGATTCTTCTGCTCTAAATATCAATTGCTGACGAAAATAACCTGTCGTTATTCGATAACATGATGCTGCGTAATTTGAGTAACAAAGACTTTTCTTGTTGAATAATATATAATAAAACTCGCCAGATAAAAATAGTAAAATATATTTATAAGCTCATTAAAATGTTTTTTTTTTTGAAAATATGCTTATGTTTTTTTTCTAACATACTATAATCTGTACGCTCCGTGAGTCCGAAAAGGGGTTGCTTTTTGTAGTTCGTATTATCGACGCTCTACTGTAATTATCACGAGTATCACAGCTCATGCATTTTGTTTATTTTAAACTCTTATGTTATTATTTGGTTTTAGACTCGCACAATTAGTATTTTTTCCTGTGTAAACTCTTTCAATTGCACATTATCATATAAACAGATATAATATACAAAATAAAAAATAAATGTTTTTTTTTTCATTTGGTGCTAATATTTACTCGTCGTTACGTGTTACGGAATACAAAATTCTTTTGAACAGGTTGTTATTTTACATTATTTTATATGTTAAGTATTTTTTAATTTCTAGAGAATGTGCCTGAACCAGTGCGAGAAAAGACACCAGAACCTTCTGTGCCTAATGTAACCGTAGATCCCCAACAACCAGACATCACTGAAGACATCGGAGAGGAACCTACTGAAGAAATCGAGCAGATATTTAGAGGTTAGTAGGCAATTTTGCAAGCATGCGGTAGAAAGCTTAGTGTATGACTTACCAATATTAACTTTGTAGCAGAATAGGGAATAGCACATAGTAAAGCATAGCGCAAACGGGAAACCAAAATTTAAACACAAATTCTTTAATTAATTTTTTAATTAATTAGTTGCCGCACGACGAGGGGGAAAATATAAAGACAATCCTTATGTGTGATACAGCCACGCTGTATCATGATTGTAGAATGAATAGCTCGATTTGACCGGGGAAGGATCACGGTCTCACAAAATACCAGTGTAAAATAGCATCTTAATTCTGGTGTCTTTTGAATGGTGAGTGTAGAGAACCGGAGAGTCAAGGGTGACAACTCCACTGCATTTTTTATTATCATTCGAATATAGATATATATGTATATAGGCCACAGCATCCACTCACCATCAGATGAACTGTGTGCTCGTTTGCCACCATTATTAAATAAAATATTATGTTAGTATTGTTTTGTCTTTATGGTACCATTATTTTTAGAAGTGAGCATGCTGAGGCTACCTGTAAGTGTGGTTTGTACTTAGTCGAAATTAAAATCTGTTAATACATAACGTATACATTATACAGGAAGAAAAAATTGTATTTAACTTTGTTGTTGTGTGCGGACGTCCTTTCGCCGGTAAAAAACTTACGTGCTTATATAATAAGTGGAGTTGTAAGAATACCCACTAACCCATATCGTCCCGTGGGTCCCGTAAGAAGCGACAGAGGGAATATGGGCAGTAGCGACTTTCTAAAATCGACTAAAAATAATAAAAACTGCGGTTGTCAACCCACTTGCCACGTGTCGCATTTATAGCAAATATTCCCACTATGCGGCAAACTGGGGGATGCCTATGTTCAACAATGTTGGCTGTACTTAAATAGGCTGTACCTGTAACTGCGTAACAAGAAACTTCACCTCAGTCCCCTAGTGACATCTGGCGAGTAGAAGATTATAGGCACTCATTGTGGCAGGTATAAAGATCGAGGTGCAGGGGCTGGACGAGGAGGCGGTGTGCGAGCTGGGCGCGGAGGTGGCGGCGGCGGGCGGCGTGCTGGCGGGCGCGGGCGCGGGGGGCCGCTACGCGCTCGTGCCGCTCGACTTCGACCCGGCCGACCTCGCCACACCCACCGCCGAGCCCGTCACCGTCTTCTGGGTGGTGAGTGCGCCCTCGTATATAGTCGTCCCGCTCTCGCAGTTCTGCTAGTTTTTTTTTAGAAATGGACATGGAATACAAACATACAGCCTACCTTGAATGGGTAATTTCGCTCATAGACACCCGTAACTGATTTCAAATAAAGAAGGCTACAGAAGCATTGTCACTTGTCAACTTTATGGATTGAGGTGAAATGTCCTCACATCCTATTAATATACTGGGTCTTCACACCTTTCGGATCAGAACAAAGCTGTGAATGCACTGCTTTTGATTGCAAAAATAAGTAAGAGGGTGTTAGTAAGAAAAGGAGTCTTACAACTTAATAAATTGTATGGATTGATTACTCGTATATAGTTTGATTCTTTGCTGCAATTTAGTAGTAATATTCTTGTTTATTAACGGTGATCGCGCAGGTTACGTATACATTTATTTATTTACATGTTTCTTCATTAGTTCATTAATTCATTTAGTCTTTCCATATTTGTTGAACCTATATAATATGTAGGAACATTTATTATTTTGTAATATATTTTGATTATTTGCATGTCAAAAGTCCAGAATTAAAAACTTGCTCTAGTTGTCATCCGACCGTAATTTTTAGTTTCAATTAAAAGGAACAAAAGACGGACTTAATGCTAAAAACATTATCTGCTATTGTCTACTGATTTAATCTGGTGGTTGTGTGGTGCAGAAAGACTGCTTGTGCCAGCAAGAGCTGGTGCCGGTGCAGTACTACCACCGGCCGGTGCGGCTGCCGCAGTGGAGCGGGGCGGGCCCGCTGCACGGCGTGGTGGCCAGCCTCAGCACCTACAGCGGCGTCGAGCGCGCCTTCCTCGACGAGCTGGCCAAGCTGCTCGGCGCCACGTGAGTCCATCACACACTACTCTGTTCTGTTTACCCCTCCTCGCACACTATCGCCGTTATACTCACACTCGACGCAGTGGAGTAACGTCCACAAAAAGTAATTCGTTGCATTGAACGTCTTTCTTTTAACTTCAGGCCTGAATAATTGAAGTCAAAACGTAATTATTTATTATACTTTTATTTTAAATTTTTAAATATTAAATCGTTTAAAAATTATTTTCACAAACTAATAAATGTTAAATATTTACTGCTTTTTTAACCCCAACCCTACTTCCCTTTATGACTGTCATTTTCCATTAACTTTGACAAGATTCCACCTCATTCACATCGCGCGCTAATTTTACCACCAGCGTTTGATTCGAAAAGAGTGCCAAAGCAAATTTATGTTGCAGAAGTGAACGGCAGGGTCGGGAAGGGACGCCCTAGACGAAGGTTTATCGACCAAATTGGCGTTACATTAAAAATGGGCCAGATTAGTAGTACCCTTAACCGACGAGCGTGTATGCGTAGATATATGGATGTAAAGGAGGCGAGAGAGGTGTGTCAGGATCGCGCCAAATGTATGTCCGTAGACTCTGCCTACCCCTCTAGGTGACAGGCGTGAGTGTTTGTATGGATTCGTTTAAGGACCTTCAAAAAATAACTTAGGTACCTACTTGTTTGTTAGAATAGAATAGAATGATTTTTATTCAATATTGATTATTACATAATACTTATTGAAAGTCATTTTTTATTTACCACTGGTTCGGAAAATACCTCTGTCCTGGGAAGAACCAGCAAGAAACCCAGCGGGACTTTTTTTTAAACATAATTTCACTTAACAATAATTTTGTTTATACAATTTTAAATGTATTTTCGTAGAACCAGCATAGTGGCGATCACCTTATTCCCAGAGGTTATTTTCATTCATGTATTCCTTGATATTGTAATAACCCTTTCATAATTCATAATCTTTATTGCAATCAAATGGTAACAATAGATGTGTTTTTAAAAAATAGTCCGCATTTGAAACCCGGTTTGGGCGTAGCAATTATAAAATATTAAATTATATTATTAGATTACATCAATAAATTAATTAAATTAACAATCACATTGTCATGTCAAAGAAAGAACAATGATAATAATAATTATAATTACAATAATAGAAAAAGAAAATTAAATATAATAAAATATAGAAAACCAAATTAAATAATATTTGTATCAAAACATTCATTTAAATTATAAAAATATTTTTAATTTATGTATAACTTTAATTTTGATAAAATTATGTAGTATCCGTTAGACTTTTATTATCTCTGACACTCGGCAAAAAATTCATCGATCGAATAAAATGAATGCTCAATTAGAAAGTGGAGCAATTTATCTTTGAAAATCTGTATATCGTTACACTCTTTGATGTTATTCGGAATCTTATTGTATATCTTTGGAGCCATAGCAAACAAACTTTTTCCATACAAGGTAGTTTTATATGTTCTACCAAGGTTATTATATAATTTGCTTTGTACAGTTTTTCTTTAACTTTAACTTTTAAAACTTTTAAACTTGTTTATTGACAAACCTTTAACATGTTCTGGGATTTTGTTGTAAAAGCGTATACATTGCCCATTAAATAAATTACTAATTTTGTGGAGTCTAGTAACTGGCATTACAAGCTTATGTTTGTTCCTAGTGTTTAAGGTATGAACATCCTTATTCTTATTAAAGCTATTTATGTTTTTATGTACATACATTACATTTTCATAAATATATTGCGATGCCAAAGTTAATATGTTTATTTCGTTAAATTTTTCTCCGAGGGACCTTTTACAATTTAGGTTATAAATCGCCCGTACGGCTCCCTTTTGCAAAACATATATAGCTTTAATATCAATCACATTACCCCATAGCAAAATTCCATAAGACATTACGCTATGAAAGTAACCAAAATACACTAATCTAGCTGTCTCAACATCTGTGAGACTTCTAATCTTACTTACAGCATATGTTGGAGAACTAAGTCTGCTTGCTAATTTAGATATATGGGGGCCCCATTGAAGTTTCGCGTCAATAGTAATACCAAGAAAAACAGTGGTAATCCACAAGACTCAACTCCTCCCCATTTAAGAGCACATTGGTTTTCAAATGTTTTACATTAGGTATTGTAAATTTAATACATTTTGTCTTATTGCCGTTTAAGAGCAAATTGTTGGCGTTAAACCAATGTACTAATTTCGATAGAGCATTATTTACATCGTCATATTTAATTGACTGCCGTTTCAGTTTGAAAATTAAAGAGGTATCGTCAGCAAATAATACTATATCGTGATTTTCCCCTACAAGATAAGGTAAGTCATTAATATAGATTAAGAACAGGAATGGGCCAAGAATCGAGCCCTGAGGAACGCCCATTGTACACGCCCCTAGCTGCCCCAACCAAGGATGACGGGATTAGGGCCCATGAGTAATCCCATCGACGAGCAGCAGAGGGACGGGGCCAGAATATGGCCACGTGGAATTTCATAATTACAATAAACAATATGGGAGAAAGCTAGAAACACATAGTACTTACCATTATCCGGAGCTAACTTCGAACCAAGGCTTGGGCAGGCCGTCAGTGTGTGTAATAGTGGATGGCGAGTAGCGTACAGTGAGGTGTGAATGTGTGGGGCCTTGGCAAGCATAGGCGACCAGCAGCGGCCGAGTTCCAGGCTGCTGCTGGTCGCCTATGCTTGCCAAAATGAGGTAATCTTCCGCAGCGTTGTCCACAGTCACTTTACTCGTTCGTCACGATGACAGTCCATTAACTCTATCGTACGATTAACTAACTTACAGAAGCCACTAACTCTCGTTTGTTATAAGGTTAACGCACAAAACGAACACGGAGTGTCCGGATCAAAGGTCACTACCGTTTCGCGTAGCAACAGTTATTTCTAGAATATCAAAGGCCGCACTAGCTAATATTGTCGAATGCACTTATACAGATTCTGAGTCGGACCCAATAAGTCCCGGGAAAGGCTATCCAACAAGGAATGCGCGTTATAAATCCTAGACAGGATGTTTACTAGACGCCTAAACTATTCCGCGGTTCCCGAACAAAAATGACAGTGTGCTAGCGTTAGCACAGCTGGCAGACGACTGCTTTGCACTCGCGCGCGCTCGACACATCCATCTAGCCCGAACTATTAAACCGGTATGGCACCGAGCCGCGCGCCCTCTGACGTCGATTTCGAAAACAGCGTTTGGCGCGAACACCCATTGATACTACCGATCCGGAAGAACCTTTACCATTTATCTCGACTTTTTGAGTTCTGTTACTTAAATATGAAGTAATAAGTCTAAGCGCCAAATTGTTTACACAGTAATGTTGTAGTTTCCTGGTCAATGTCTTAAGATGAACACAATCAAAAGCCTTGGAAAGGTCACAGAAAATACCTAAGGCATCTTGTGAATTCTCCCAGACAAAAAATATATTTCGTAAGCTCAACACCGGCGTCAGATGTCGAGCGACCCCTTGTAAAACCAAATTGGTTTTTATGAAGTAATTTATTTGTATAAAAAAAATTAACAATTGATCCAAAATTATTTTTTCAAAAATTTTACTGAGAGTTGGTAGTACAGAAATAGGTCTATAATTAGCGGGGTCCAATGTACTACCAGATTTAAATAAAGGTATTACTTTACTATACTTCATTAAATCAGGAAACAGACCAGAATCGATACAAGTATTAAAAATAATAGCAAGATGAGGAAATATGTAATGGACGCAATAACTGTAACGGAAATCCCCCACAAATCTGCGGTTTTCTTTACATTAATGGTTTTGAAGTATTTTACAATATTATGCGGTAATACTTTTTCAAATCTAAATTCTTTTACGAGGGCTGCACTAAAAGTGTCGGGAATGAAATATTTCCACTGTTCCTGTCATATTTTTTTTTTAATTGAAAAGTCCGTGGTTTTAAAAATCGAATACCATTTATTTATTTAAAAAAAAACATTCTCGGTCGTGTCACAAGGTTTTGTCAAACTTGTTTAGTCGTTGAGAAAATGGAATTGAATCGAGAAAATTCAAGAGCGATGATTTATTATGACTTTCGAAGTGGTTTAACACAAGAACAGTGTGTTGACTGGGTGATTTCTGCATTTGGTGATGAAGCCCCATCCAAAACCACAATTTCCTATTACTTCATATTTATATATATATTTCCTCCCCTCCCCCTTCCAGTACTCAACTGCGTTTCTGCCGCCGTAACACGGCGAACGCCCTGGCGTCCACGCACTTGATCTGCCCGACGGCCGCGGGGGACAAGTACGCCGGCGCTGTGAAGTGGCAGCTGCCCGCAGTGAAGGCTTCGTGGCTGCTCGCCTGCGCTGAAGAAGGACGACGCGTCAGCGAAAAGGACCACCTCGTTGGCGATACCAAAGGTAAGGTCAATGCAACAGATCGCCCTCTAAAATCTCTGCGCTGGTAATTTCTTATATTCACTCGAATGCTACACGTGGTTAAAACTAAAATTTAAATTTTAACATATTAAAACTTTTTTAATTTCCTATGTTTCGGGCAATTTACTTTCTTCTCTTTACTTTACACCTATAGTCACGGGGGGACTCCATGGATTTTAGAAAGTGTTCTGTGTTAGGTTCGGCGCAACGAGGTCTTTTTGTCTACGTCTCTCTCTTTAACCAAATCCTTATAGACACAAGCCTCTTCCTTCAGATACAGATGTGAAGCAATAAGTTCGCTGGCTCCGCTGCGCTACTTTAGTACGTGTATGCGGACTTTATTTTATAACATTGATGGTGATAAACAAGCATTCAGTCCACCTAATAGTAAGTGGCTGTTTGCAGTCCATGCATACCTGTACCCAATTTCAAAAAGAAAGCTACTGATGCGTTGTCACCTCTGTGGACTAAGATGGAATATCTCAGCCTCTGTAGCTCTATATCTCTATAAGATAGCAGTGCGGGCACTGATATTTGGCGACAGAATTAACTTCACATAAACCGCCAACCTTGTGATAAATCGATACTTAAAACCGCAATTAACAACTTCATTAGTGCCGCTAGGAATCAAACTGTGGCTGTTACACTATGAAATTATGGCGAGCGTTATGTTTCATTTGTATATATTAGTAGGATGTTCTTAAATATCCTGTGTTCAAATGTTAAGGTCAAGTGAACTGATGTTATCAATTTTGTTAAATTTTAAATTTCCAGAACAGCACAAGTTAAAATGGAAAGAAAGTTTATACCCAAAAATAATTATTAACAAACACTTTTGTGCGAAACATTTACATAATTGTCACGACAAAAACAACTGGAGTTATATTTTTACTCCTCCTGATCGGTCTGCACATTATTGAACATCTCCTATATCAGCCAGTAAACATACATCGCTAGACATAGATCTCTTGCTCATAGTAAAAATTATAGAAAACATAAAGATTCAACATTGTGGCAGGTGCTAGAAATAAGCTCTTGAGCTTAAATATCCAATAAATATTCCAATTCCAAAATATGAAAAGTTAAAACCATAGTCATTCAGCTTTTTTTTATTTTTTTATTTTTTTTTTTTTATAGGAGAGGGGGCAAACGAGCATGCGGCTCACCTGATGGTAAGTGACTACCGCCGCCCATGAACAACCGCAACACCAGGGGAATTGCAGATGCGTTGCCGGCCTTTTAAAAAGGAGTAGGCTCTTTTCTTGAAGGTCCCTAAGTCGTATCGGTCCGGAAAAATCCCTGGTGGTAAACTATTCCACAAGGAAGTTGTGCGAGGAAGAAAACATCTTCTAAATCGCACAGTGGTGGACCGCCAATCATCCAGATGGTGTGGATGGTATCGGGAGTTCTGCCGCGATGTGCGTTCGTGAAATTTGGCGGCTGGGATTAATCCGAACAATTCCTCAGAGCACTCCCCATGGTAGATGCGAAAGAAAATGCAAAGAGATGCAACATCTCTTCGCAGTGCCAATGAATCGAGCCGATCGGAAAGGGATCGGTCGTCGACGATTCGAGCCGCTCTGCGCTGGATGCGGTCAAGTGGAAGGAGCTGGCACTGGGGAGCCCCTGCCCAGAGATGGGAACAGTATTCCATGTGAGGCCGAACCTGCGCCTTGTAAAGTTGAAGGCGGTGTGCCGGCATGAAATACTGTCCCGCTCTGCTGAGCACGCCAAGCTTTTTAGAGGCCAATTTGGCCTTCTCTTCCAAGTGACCACGAAACTGCACGTCACTCGATATGTCGACTCCAAGGATACCGATACTGGCTGAGGCAAGAAGGGGAGTGCCTTGAAACTGAGGAGATACGACAAAGGGGTTCTTTTTAGCGGTAAACGCGCAAACTTGTGTCTTCTGAGGATTAAACTGGACTAGATTTAGTCGCCCCCAATCCGAGACTTTGTCCAGCAAAGACTCGACTTCAGACACAAGTTTGTTCCGGTACTCGGTGACGTTTTCCCGAGAAATATTGGCCCGGCCGGTGTATAGAGCATCACCAGTGCTGTCATCCGCATAGCAATGAATGTTACCAGTTAGCAACATATCATTGATATGCAGAAGAAACAGCGTTGGTGATAGCACACAGCCTTGTGGAACACCAGCGTTAATAGGCTTGTAGTCAGAACATGCACCGTCTACAACGACCTTGATGCTCCGATCTGCAAGAAAGCTGGTGATCCAATTGCACAATTTCTCGGGAAGCCCATAGGAAGGCAGCTTCGAAAGAAGCGCTTTGTGCCAAACCCGATCAAAGGCCTTCGCAATGTCCAGACTAACGGCCAACGCCTCCCCCTTGGACTCTACTGCCTTCGCCCATCTATGGGTCAGGTAGACCAGAAGATCACCAGCTGATCGACACCGACGAAAACCGTATTGGCGGTCACTAATCAGCTGGTGATCCTCAAGGTACCGGATGAGCTGGCAGTTAATAATGGATTCCATTATTTTGGAGAACAAGGAGGTGATTTATTTTTAAAAGAACGTTACCTCCACGCTAGGATTTCCTACTGTATCGTGGGGGCAGTTTACATACATACATTTCACAAGGACAAAAATCCAGACCCGGAACAATTATTTATAGGCCATACAAGTACTTGTTCCGTGCGGGATTCGAAGCCGCGGCTCCTTAGCGTTGCAACTCTGCGCTACGGAGCCGTCAAAGTTTCCATATTCCAGCTCCACCAACTCCAGAGAATTCCCCGACCAAAGAGCAAGCTGAACCCGCTGCGCCAATACACGAACAAACCGTTCCGGTAACAGACAAGGAGAACGCAATGTTGCCACCCGCGGATTCTGAAGTTCGACGCAGGCTATCCGCGCTAAGCAGAGAAGATACGCCAAAGGCTAAAGGAAATGGTAAAATTAATTGTTAATTATAGTCCTTTTTTGCTAAAAGATGATTGATTGATTGACATGATTTTTAAACAATAGGATAGGGTGACAAACGAGCACACAGTCCACCTGATGGTAAGTGGTAGCTGTACCCAAAGACATCTATATCTATCCTCGATTAAGAATCAAAATGCAGATGCTTTGTCACCCGTGAGGACTAAGATGGAATGCCTCTTTTCCAGTAAAATGGGTCTCCGGTTCTATACACTCACCATACGAAACATAGCAGGGTTAAGCTGCTATTTTACGCTGATATTCTATGAGAGCGTAGTTCTTCCCCGGTCGAGCCGACCAATTCGTGCTACAATTATACTAGTAATATAGTTCCAGCATGACTCTAACACGTACAAATGCAACCAATAAATGATGACATAATTTTGCTCTCGTAAGTAAACCTGCAGCCTTGCTAACCTTGCCGTGCATCCCGAGGGTGTCGTAAGAGACGACAGAGGGAAACGAAACAGGGGATGGGTAGCAACATCTTCTTGATAACAATTCTAAATAATAAAATAGCCACCCTGTTTGCCTAGGGTGGCAACTATTACAAATATCATCTATTAAGGGAACATGTAAGGAGGTCTTTGTTTTGAAATGAAATTAAATTTAATATGTTTATTTTTTCGACGTAAGAAAATAACATTTCGTTTGTCAAATGACATATTTTCAAATTTACTACTGTTTTGTAATGAGTCTCCTCTGACCAAAAAAGTTATTGGTAATAGGAACTATGCAGTTATACTGTTTTCTGTCATTTAAAAAATATTTTTCATAGCATAGTATATACATGATTGAAAACAATAACAGACCCATCTGTAACTAAAATATGTTTATGATGTACTCAAAAAAAAAAACAAAGCATGTGGCATTCATCACCCTCCTCGAACATACTAAAAGAAAGTAGACGACTCGCCACTCGACAGTGTTGCAAGAAAAGATCTTAAGCGAACATGAGATACCTAAGTGCATCCATCATACACAGAGATGTGAACCCCTCCCCATACGTAGAACACACTTTTCTAGAAAATCATTTTTACAATTAGTTACGTCACAAATTACCTAACTTGGAATTAAACTGAAGTGACCAAAATATTTACGTAAATTTTAGTAAGCTTTAGAGCATAAACACTTTTTTTAGGAATCTTATTAACTTAATATATATTCGTGTACATTCTCTCATGTATGACTTATCGTTGTTAATCTAAGGTTTAGAATGTCTCCTTTGCATAATCTATACAAATAAGTAAAATTGAAGTGTCTGTTTATAAGGTCAAAATAACAGCGTTTTACTAAATGCATATGAAAGTATATGCGGTACTACTTATAACAAAACAATTTTTAATTTTTCGTCTGTCTGTTTGTTCAGTCTTATTTCCGAAAGGGCTTGACCAATATTGACGGAACTTTCACTGGCAGATAGCTAATATTATAAGGAGTAACTTAGGCTACTTTTCTTTTAAAAAAAGATTTAGGGTTCCGCGCAAAAAAATTCAAACCAAATAACTCACGGGCGAAGTCGCGGGGTACAGCTAGTTTGGGACATAAAAGACATAAAAGTTGCCAACCATTTATGTGAAGTTCGGCGTTTATTTCGTTTGATGTGGTATAATAAGCGTCACAAAAGTTGCATTAGGAAAAAAAGACAGTTTATCATGAGAATCAATTAACAAACCGTTTCCAGATGGGGACGACATGTCGCCAGCGTCAAGATATATAGCGATGGCGCGGCAAGGTTTACTTGGTTGCGATTCTCAAGAGACGCCCGAAAGAAGAGAAATGAAGAGGTTGCAAGAACTGAAAGACCAAGCTAGGCCAGGTAATGAAATATATGTGCGCTCGACAAGACTAAAACAAAAAATGAAACTAATAATACATTTAGTTTTAATTATGACGTTTGATTTTAGCCTTACAAAATGCACTAAAAGTAGTTAGTGCATAACACGAATTAAAAAAATTGACAATCTTATTACTCAAAACAAAAGTACTTGGAGAGGCGGTTGAAAAATATCCTCTACCTCATAAAGTCCCATGGTTATAGTAATAGGCGACAGAGGGATATAGACCAGGAGATGGGCGGCAGCGTCTTTGCAGGCAGCAGAGACTTAGTATCTGCTCTATATATGGATTTAACTAAAGCTTTTGACTATGTTAATCACAGTATCCTCTTAAGTAAATTAGAAGCGTACGGAGCCCGAGGAAATGTCCTCAATGTCCTAAAAACATACCTAATAAATCGACAACAATGTACACAAATTACGTGTTCATCGTCATATTGTGAAGTAATTCAAGGAGTACCCCAGGGAAGTATTCTTGGTCCATTATTATTCCTTGTTTATATAAACGATTTACCAAATTATATAAATCAAGATATGGTACTATTTGCAGACGATAGCACAGTGATGTTTACAAGCACAAGGAAAAATCAAATGATATCTGTCATAAATCGAACACTGGACATATTAATTCCATGGTTATCAAATATTAATTTATTAATTAATCTAAATTAAAAAAAAATATAATGACTTTCAGAAATATCTAAAATAATTTAATACATCTTAATAATGCTACAATGGACAACAAGTTATTGTAGTCGAAAATGCTAAATTTTTAGTCCTCAATGTCGATTAAAACTTAAAATGGAAATCTCAAATAGAAGATATTTGTACTAAACTCAACCAGTTCTCTTATGCACTGAATAGTGAATCAATGCGCCGTCATCACTGCGTACCACGGTTATGTGAAATCAGTGTTAAGGTATGGTGTCATCTTTTGGGGTAATTCTGTAGACAATGAAATGATATTTAGAGTCCAAAAGAGATGTGTAAGGGCCATCGTGAAGTTAAAACAGACGGATAGTTGTAAACCACTTTTTATTAGTCTGAAACTGCCATGTTGTCACTGTCCAAAACTTCCATGGCTTTATATATATGAGGTAGCCGTCTTTGTTATTACGAATATTTCTTTATTTGAGTGTCTACACAGTAAACGTAATTACAAAATATGTTTTCCATCAAACAAAACAGCCCAATTTAACAACTGTATATTTTGTATAGCCCCTCGAATTTATAACCATTTACCATTTCACATTTTGAGATGCTCCAACATAGATAAGTTTAAAATACTATTGAAGCTATTCTTGTTAATAGGGCATACTACAGTGTGAAAAAATATCTCGAAGATAAATAAAAAATTCAATAATTTATTGTTAGATGACTCAGAATAACTAAATTGACTTGACTTATATAATATTATCTAAATTGACTTATTGCTATTATTTTTGATTATGTATCATGTGAACTCCAATTACATGTATAAGTAATTTAATTTATAAGTAATAAAATGTTATGAATATTGCATGCCAAATGGCGGAATATAGCTGTACTGTTTGTTCTATAAGTGATAAACTACGTAAAGACCAACTGTATCAACGTATATATACATTTTTTAATTATAATAAAGTATTTAATAATAATTGGATAAGGTTTGTGAACGAATCAAGTACTACCTAGTAATACTCTAGGCACGGTTCGTGATACGTATCATCTATCGCATAGTGGATACGGTTCGTGAGGCGTGTGGTACGGTTGCACGCGAGGAGGCGAGGAGGCGGTGATGACTTGTGCGGTTGATGTTGCAGGCGAGGAGGCGTTGCGCACGCCGCGAGTGGACGAGGCGCTGTCGTCGCCCAACCTGGTGGGCTTCAGCCCCGCCTCGCGCCGCCGCCTGCGCGCGCTGCGCCGCGGCGACCCGCCCTCCGGCCCCGTGCGCACGCCCGCCGACCCGTGTCAGTCGCACCGCAACACTTGCACCTTGTCACACTGCCCGTCGCTCTAGTGCTCCATGACAGTACGCGAGCCGCCCTCCGGCCCCGTGCGCACGCCCGCCGACCCGTGTCAGTCGCACCGCAACACTTGCACCTTGTCACACTGCCCGTCGCTCTAGTGCTCCATGACAGTACGCGAGCCGCCCTCCGGCCCCGTGCGCACGCCCGCCGACCCGTGTCAGTCGCACCGCAACACTTGCACCTTGTCACACTGCCCGTCGCTCTAGTGCTCCATGACAGTACGCGAGCCGCCCTCCGGCCCCGTGCGCACGCCCGCCGACCCGTGTCAGTCGCACCGCAACACTTGCACCTTGTCACACTGCCCGTCGCTCTAGTGCTCCATGACAGTACGCGAGCCGCCCTCCGGCCCCGTGCGCACGCCCGCCGACCCGTGTCAGTCGCACCGCAACACTTGCACCTTGTCACACTGCCCGTCGCTCTAGTGCTCCATGACAGTACGCGAGCCGCCCTCCGGCCCCGTGCGCACGCCCGCCGACCCGTGTCAGTCGCACCGCAACACTTGCACCTTGTCACACTGCCCGTCGCTCTAGTGCTCCATGACAGTACGCGAGCCGCCCTCCGGCCCCGTGCGCACGCCCGCCGACCCGTGTCAGTCGCACCGCAACACTTGCACCTTGTCACACTGCCCGTCGCTCTAGTGCTCCATGACAGTACGCGAGCCGCCCTCCGGCCCCGTGCGCACGCCCGCCGACCCGTGTCAGTCGCACCGCAACACTTGCACCTTGTCACACTGCCCGTCGCTCTAGTGCTCCATGACAGTACGCGAGCCGCCCTCCGGCCCCGTGCGCACGCCCGCCGACCCGTGTCAGTCGCACCGCAACACTTGCACCTTGTCACACTGCCCGTCGCTCTAGTGCTCCATGACAGTACGCGAGCCGCCCTCCGGCCCCGTGCGCACGCCCGCCGACCCGTGTCAGTCGCACCGCAACACTTGCACCTTGTCACACTGCCCGTCGCTCTAGTGCTCCATGACAGTACGCGAGCCGCCCTCCGGCCCCGTGCGCACGCCCGCCGACCCGTGTCAGTCGCACCGCAACACTTGCACCTTGTCACACTGCCCGTCGCTCTAGTGCTCCATGACAGTACGCGAGCCGCCCTCCGGCCCCGTGCGCACGCCCGCCGACCCGTGTCAGTCGCACCGCAACACTTGCACCTTGTCACACTGCCCGTCGCTCTAGTGCTCCATGACAGTACGCGAGCCGCCCTCCGGCCCCGTGCGCACGCCCGCCGACCCGTGTCAGTCGCACCGCAACACTTGCACCTTGTCACACTGCCCGTCGCTCTAGTGCTCCATGACAGTACGCGAGCCGCCCTCCGGCCCCGTGCGCACGCCCGCCGACCCGTGTCAGTCGCACCGCAACACTTGCACCTTGTCACACTGCCCGTCGCTCTAGTGCTCCATGACAGTACGCGAGCCGCCCTCCGGCCCCGTGCGCACGCCCGCCGACCCGTGTCAGTCGCACCGCAACACTTGCACCTTGTCACACTGCCCGTCGCTCTAGTGCTCCATGACAGTACGCGAGCCGCCCTCCGGCCCCGTGCGCACGCCCGCCGACCCGTGTCAGTCGCACCGCAACACTTGCACCTTGTCACACTGCCCGTCGCTCTAGTGCTCCATGACAGTACGCGAGCCGCCCTCCGGCCCCGTGCGCACGCCCGCCGACCCGTGTCAGTCGCACCGCAACACTTGCACCTTGTCACACTGCCCGTCGCTCTAGTGCTCCATGACAGTACGCGACCCGCCCTCCGGCCCCGTGCGCACGCCCGCCGACCCGTGTCAGTCGCACCGCAACACTTGCACCTTGTCACACTGCCCGTCGCTCTAGTGCTCCATGACAGTACGCGAGCCGCCCTCCGGCCCCGTGCGCACGCCCGCCGACCCGTGTCAGTCGCACCGCAACACTTGCACCTTGTCACACTGCCCGTCGCTCTAGTGCTCCATGACAGTACGCGAGCCGCCCTCCGGCCCCGTGCGCACGCCCGCCGACCCGTGTCAGTCGCACCGCAACACTTGCACCTTGTCACACTGCCCGTCGCTCTAGTGCTCCATGACAGTACGCGACCCGCCCTCCGGCCCCGTGCGCACGCCCGCCGACCCGTGTCAGTCGCACCGCAACACTTGCACCTTGTCACACTGCCCGTCGCTCTAGTGCTCCATGACAGTACGCGAGCCGCCCTCCGGCCCCGTGCGCACGCCCGCCGACCCGTGTCAGTCGCACCGCAACACTTGCACCTTGTCACACTGCCCGTCGCTCTAGTGCTCCATGACAGTACGCGAGCCGCCCTCCGGCCCCGTGCGCACGCCCGCCGACCCGTGTCAGTCGCACCGCAACACTTGCACCTTGTCACACTGCCCGTCGCTCTAGTGCTCCATGACAGTACGCGAGCCGCCCTCCGGCCCCGTGCGCACGCCCGCCGACCCGTGTCAGTCGCACCGCAACACTTGCACCTTGTCACACTGCCCGTCGCTCTAGTGCTCCATGACAGTACGCGAGCCGCCCTCCGGCCCCGTGCGCACGCCCGCCGACCCGTGTCAGTCGCACCGCAACACTTGCACCTTGTCACACTGCCCGTCGCTCTAGTGCTCCATGACAGTACGCGAGCCGCCCTCCGGCCCCGTGCGCACGCCCGCCGACCCGTGTCAGTCGCACCGCAACACTTGCACCTTGTCACACTGCCCGTCGCTCTAGTGCTCCATGACAGTACGCGAGCCGCCCTCCGGCCCCGTGCGCACGCCCGCCGACCCGTGTCAGTCGCACCGCAACACTTGCACCTTGTCACACTGCCCGTCGCTCTAGTGCTCCATGACAGTACGCGAGCCGCCCTCCGGCCCCGTGCGCACGCCCGCCGACCCGTGTCAGTCGCACCGCAACACTTGCACCTTGTCACACTGCCCGTCGCTCTAGTGCTCCATGACAGTACGCGAGCCGCCCTCCGGCCCCGTGCGCACGCCCGCCGACCCGTGTCAGTCGCACCGCAACACTTGCACCTTGTCACACTGCCCGTCGCTCTAGTGCTCCATGACAGTACGCGAGCCGCCCTCCGGCCCCGTGCGCACGCCCGCCGACCCGTGTCAGTCGCACCGCAACACTTGCACCTTGTCACACTGCCCGTCGCTCTAGTGCTCCATGACAGTACGCGAGCCGCCCTCCGGCCCCGTGCGCACGCCCGCCGACCCGTGTCAGTCGCACCGCAACACTTGCACCTTGTCACACTGCCCGTCGCTCTAGTGCTCCATGACAGTACGCGAGCCGCCCTCCGGCCCCGTGCGCACGCCCGCCGACCCGTGTCAGTCGCACCGCAACACTTGCACCTTGTCACACTGCCCGTCGCTCTAGTGCTCCATGACAGTACGCGAGCCGCCCTCCGGCCCCGTGCGCACGCCCGCCGACCCGTGTCAGTCGCACCGCAACACTTGCACCTTGTCACACTGCCCGTCGCTCTAGTGCTCCATGACAGTACGCGAGCCGCCCTCCGGCCCCGTGCGCACGCCCGCCGACCCGTGTCAGTCGCACCGCAACACTTGCACCTTGTCACACTGCCCGTCGCTCTAGTGCTCCATGACAGTACGCGAGCCGCCCTCCGGCCCCGTGCGCACGCCCGCCGACCCGTGTCAGTCGCACCGCAACACTTGCACCTTGTCACACTGCCCGTCGCTCTAGTGCTCCATGACAGTACGCGAGCCGCCCTCCGGCCCCGTGCGCACGCCCGCCGACCCGTGTCAGTCGCACCGCAACACTTGCACCTTGTCACACTGCCCGTCGCTCTAGTGCTCCATGACAGTACGCGAGCCGCCCTCCGGCCCCGTGCGCACGCCCGCCGACCCGTGTCAGTCGCACCGCAACACTTGCACCTTGTCACACTGCCCGTCGCTCTAGTGCTCCATGACAGTACGCGAGCCGCCCTCCGGCCCCGTGCGCACGCCCGCCGACCCGTGTCAGTCGCACCGCAACACTTGCACCTTGTCACACTGCCCGTCGCTCTAGTGCTCCATGACAGTACGCGAGCCGCCCTCCGGCCCCGTGCGCACGCCCGCCGACCCGTGTCAGTCGCACCGCAACACTTGCACCTTGTCACACTGCCCGTCGCTCTAGTGCTCCATGACAGTACGCGAGCCGCCCTCCGGCCCCGTGCGCACGCCCGCCGACCCGTGTCAGTCGCACCGCAACACTTGCACCTTGTCACACTGCCCGTCGCTCTAGTGCTCCATGACAGTACGCGAGCCGCCCTCCGGCCCCGTGCGCACGCCCGCCGACCCGTGTCAGTCGCACCGCAACACTTGCACCTTGTCACACTTACCTTACTTGCGCCTTTTCACACTGCCTCGTTGTTCTCGTACTCTATAACGACATATAAAGTTTTAAAGACGCTAGATGGCCTCCGAGTCTATCCCGAACCTCAGAAACTCGGCCAATGGCACCATTTCACTTTTACCTTATCACACTACCTCGTTGCTCTTGTGGTTTTGTGCAGGATGACGACAGTATATCAAGTTTTTAAGATGCCCAAACGGACAAAATAACTTGAGGTTTATATCACAGATTGATGAGAAGATTTTGTCATTTACACTAATTGTACACATCAAACTCCACTTTACCTATCAAAATCCACTTAATCAGCAGTTGCGCATACGACTACTCGACCAATTGAGGCAGTAAAGTCAGTTAAAATAGATTAAATAATTAAAATATATAATAATATATTTGCAGTCGAGAAAAACCCTGAAACCCCGGATAGTGCGTTCGGTACTGCCTTGCGGCCCGGTTCCGGTCGACTGTCCCCGGACTCGCGGAAACGACTGTGGAAGGTCGTCAACGAACTGCCGCCTAAACAGCAGGAACCTACAAGAGAGCAACACACTGTAAGTATCGTCTGTACAGTAAATTATTATACAGTACAGTACAGTATATATTAATACATGTAAGAAAATTTTATACCCCTTTTAAAGCGTATTGTACGCACGAATGAGTGTCAGATTTGGCACATTTAAAGTTTATATGGGGAAGAGGTGCAGAAAGCTAAATTTATTTAATGTGTTACAAATACATTAAATTAAAAATAACATTCATTGTTTACGTTCACACTGCCAAAGTCAATTGTCAAACACAATATTACATGGTCTACTATTTGCGTATCTTTGGCGACAATCTCAACAGAGTAGAGATTGTTGCCAAAGATTTTAAATATGTTGTTATCATAATAATACATTTACGTTCATACTGCAAATGTCAATTGTCAAACACAAAGTAGTCTGTGGTCGCACAGAGTAGAGATTATCGCCAAAGAATTATAAAATGGTTTTAACATAATAATACATTTACGTTCATACTGACAGTGTCTAATTGTCAAACACAGTAGTCTGTGGTCGCATAGAGTAAAGATTGTTGCCAAAGAATTTTAAAATGTTATCATAATAATACATTTACGTTCATACTGCCAGTGTCAATTGTCAAACACAAAGTAGTCTGTGGTCGCACAGAGTAGAGATTGTCGCCAAATAATTTTAAAATGGTTTTAACATAATAATACATTTACGTTCATACTGACAGTGTCAATTGTCAAACACACAGTAGTCTGTGGTCGCACAGAGTAAAGATTGTTGCCAAAGAATTTTAAAATGTTGCAACGAAATAATTATTGACAGATTGAATGAAAAGTAAACTGTGTAATTTCTTATGTTCTTTTTTTAATAGTCGGTATTGTATGTCAACACAAAAAGTTTTAAATTGTTTATTTTATATTTTGTATAATAAATATCTGTGTTTTAAGCTTGCTTAATATACAAACCTAAAAATTTAATTAACTAAGATCGAATTTCGACCACTAGACGTAATAATTATCAACCTAAATATTATAAAATGAAGACTGTATTTTCAATTGCAGCCACTTTCGGAGATTAAGAACCGTTTCCTGGCTCAGTTCAACTCGGACGCACCCACGCCGCCTTCGGACCGCCCGGCCGCACCGAGGAAGCTGCACTTACAAGTAACTTTCATCACTATTATTCATACGTGGTAGAGCCACGCTGCCGCTATAATATTATAGTTGTAGCACGTATGGGTCGGCTCGACCGGGGTAGGACCACGCTCTTACATAATACCAGCGTAAAATAGCAGCTTAATGCTGCTGTGTTTCGTGTGGTAGGTGTAGAGAACCGGAGACCTGTTTTATTGGAAACGAGGCATTTTATCTTAGTCCTCAAGGGTGACAACCGAAAATAGGTATAGACTACAGCTTATGGCCTACAGCATCCACTTACTATCAGTTCGACTGTGTGCTCGTCTGTCACCCTTATCCTTTAATAAAAAATCATATTATCTCACCACGTCCAGGGTTGACTGAGGGAGAACGCCTAAAGGCATTAAGGCAGTAACCCTTATGTTAAGGTGTAAATAAAAAGTAAATAAATAAATATGATTATGACGTTAAACTCCAGTATAGCTTGCCAATTACTTAGTCTTATTAGAATATAATATGATTTCCTGGCATATTTAAACCACGTTCACAACTTTGTTGATTTGTCTCATAAGTTCTCGAGTCTCGCTGGTCTCTCAACTGATCATGGGTCTCGGGTTTCAATTCCGGGTGGCGACAAAACATTTACTGGTTTTTAGATTATTAAAATACTCAAAACAATGCCTCAGTGATTTTTATTATATATATTTGTATTTATATATTTTAACTCCTTTTTGCACGCCACATAACGCAAAGCGTTACTAGATAGTACTTTACTCTCGACACGCCAAGTTCAAGCAATTTTGTGTTCTTAAAATGCAAATAACAACCATAAATTGCACTTATACGATAATATGAGTAGCCGTATATCAAGAAAATACTAACTAATCCATCTTATATTTTCTAAAAAATTATTTTATATTGCTATTTTGAAAAAAAAAACTGAAAAATTTTTACGCCTGATTTTGAATGTGGTCACGATAACTCCCGAAAAAATGGACGTATCGAGACCGGTGTTTTTTATTAGCTTCAGAATTATATCAACTGGTTTCCTATTTCATATCCAATAACCTAGTACGCGTAGTTTGTTAATAAAATGATTTTGTTTATTTTTTTTTATATTTTAGGATCAACCTGAAACCCCGGCACCGAAAATGGCAAAGTTATCAGTTGAACAGGTAATAATGTTTTCTTGTTTAAGTTTGATCAGCGTGTACATAACCAAATAAATAATCCTGCAGTTTGTTTTTGCATTAAAGTTAGCTCTGGCTGAAAATTGAACGCAGGACCCCTCTTTGAGGAGTGGCTTGAGAGACGCCACGGCGTCCTCACCTTCCGCCTGACGCAGGTCCTCACCGGACACGGTGTGTTCGGGAGGTTCCTGCACCGAATCGGGCGGGAGGAAACGCCCGGGTGCTCCCACTGCGAGGATCGACCGGAGGACACGGTGGAGCACACCGTGGAGGTGTGCTCTGCTTGGGCGGAGCACCTCCGTGTCCTCGTAGCGGCGATAGGCGGCGGCGACCTCTCGCGTCCGGCTCTGGTCGAAGCCATGGTCCGGAGCGAGACGGAATGGGATGCCGTCACCACCTTCTGCGAAGCAGTGATGCTAGCGAAGGAGGTGGCGGAGCGGGAGAGGGAAAGAGCAACAGCTTTCCTTCCCGGCCGCCGCGGGAGACGCCCCGGGCGTCGGGGGCTACGTCGTGGCCCCCGACCACCGTAGGCGCGGGCCTGTGGACGGCGAGCAATGGGTAGCTCGCCGTCCGTCCGTCTAACGACGACAGGCCGTGTCGACGGCGCGTTTTGTTCCACGCGCGCCTCAAAGAGCTGTCAGCAGCGTGAAGGGGCCCGCAAGGGCCGACGCCTGCCGGGGCTGCGGGCTGTTCGAAAGAGATACCGCGGCTCCGGAACGTAAGGGCACTGAAGGAACACGGATGGTTTTTAGTCAGTAAAAGTCTGACACTCCCTTCCGCTCCACCCACAGCGAAAGGCGTCATTAGATGATTTTCCATCCGCAAAAAAAAAAAAAAAAGGACCCGTGATATAAAAAAAATATTCAACGTGAGATAAAAGAGCAATGGCAGAAAAATAGTTGACAAAAATTATTGCGTCTAGAAATAAGTTATATATAAAATGAGTTTTATTATTTTTCTATGATTTTCATCATTCAAATTCATCAAATAAAAATGTATTTTAATTAAAGCCACAAAAAAGAACAAACTTTTTTGGGAATATCAAATGACTTAATTCATTTTACTCTATCCAAGTGTTGTCATTATAGTAATGTTCATACTATTTTCGTATACACTTTGTAAGACTACCAACACAACACACAAACACAAAATATTTTTATATTAAGTTATTATTAGTTATAACTATACTATCAGTAATAATAATAATAAAAGTGTTATGGTAGAAAAGAAGTCTCTTACAAAGAACTTTCTACAATAATACCTTATCTCAATCATAGTAATATGTAATAATTCCATTTAATGTTATGACAACACTAACTACAACAAAAGTATGACACAAAGGCCCTGGAGCCATGCCAGAAATACACATTTATAGTATGCAAATATATAATTGAGATACAATAATCTAAAAATTTTAAATTATGTAGATAGAGGGCACATTATATTGAGAATGTATCAAACTAACATCAAACAACTACTTTTTCCAAGCGACATAAGACATAACCTAAAAAGGTTCAAATCGAAATATCTTTTTTTTGACGCCTTCTCAGAACAAAATTCTTTGACATAGTTATTAAGGGAGTGACGCTTAACATTTTAAGATATTTTTGAGATATACATGCTACCATTCATTCTCAACTAATTTTATGTATGAAAGTCTGCCATTGTTCTTTAAGTGACAAACGAACTTACAGTCCACTTGAGGGTGAGGGAGGTACGGGAGGGTTACTGTAACTCATGGACACCTGCAGCCAACTCCAAACAAAGAAGGCTACAGATGCGTTATCACGACATAGTTGGAATACCAAACAGTCCATACCTCTCTACCTACCTACCTCAGATCTATACTCTAGAGGGGAACAGCATTGTTAAGCGTCTCCTACACTCAAACGGCTTGCGGCGGCGGCTTGGCTTGTAGTTGTTGAACAACACCACCGCGGTCGCAGCGGCGGCCTGGTTAACTGTGACGAAGTCATAATACTCTTATTATATATTCAGCAATATCATCCCATATTTTGTTTTTGATCCTAACGCTTTTGTAATGACTGTGTGAAAAATTATAAAGTACTAGATAATTTTGCACTGTTTTTATTAAAATCTCTGTATTTAGCGCTATTTTGCAAGCGGTACACGCGGCCTGTTGTAACAATTTACACATGACCGCACTGCGGCCACCGATAAGCTGAGCGACTGCTAACACACTCAAAGCGTTTCCCACAAGCGGCTTGCGGTGGCGGCTAACAGCGAGCCGCGGCGCAGTAGCGGCCTGAAGCTCCATTCGCTGTAGTGTCTGTGCTACGATCGGACGTCAGTCGAAGAAAATATACGTCAGTCAACATGGCTAAGCATGACGATGTCTTTTTATTCTTATTATATTCAGCAGTATTATCCCATATACTTCACACCGTGATTAGAAAAGTATTAAGATTAAAAACAAAATACGGGATGATATTACTGAATATATAACAGTAATATGACTTCGTCACAGTTAGCCTGGCCGCCGCTGCGACCGCGGTGGTGTGTTGTTGCAGGCTTGCGGTTAGCAGCCACCGCAACCCGCTTGAGTATGGGAGACGATTAAGAGCTGCTATGTGAGGGTGGGAACGGGAAACGCTTACCACCTACATGAACATAAGTTTTTTTATCTATTGCAAGTCACTATTTGACTTTTACCTCACTTGATGGTAAGTGGTCATGTAGGAACTGCTTTAGCAGTGTAATATCCTGGGTATACGATTCAGAAACCATACATTTTATACATTATAAGTAATGGTATATGCTTATAATTATCACTTATAATATACCTATTTTCAAATTAAACTCACAGGGCGTTGGCAGTGTCGCGTCAGAACCAGACGATAGTGGAAAATGTGAATCGAACGTTTCAAGCGCTAGCAAAACCCTCCCAGCCGCGGTGGATGCTCAGTTACAGCGCTTAAACGCTGCTTTAAGCAATCGACTTAGCTCTCAGAGAGCGAAACGATCGAGGAGGGACTCCGTTAGTGTTACTCCGGGTACGTATTTTTGAATAATATTTTTAAACTCAAGGCTATCCTGTCCCGAAAACCTAATACATTCTATGAAAATGTTATTTATATATTCGAAAATATATGTTGTTACAAAAAATGATATTCATTCGGTAAATAATAGGAACATACACAAGCTAGAACAGAATCAGTTACTAGACTCTTCATTTAATAATATATTAATGGATTCTCAATTTAATTATCTTAATTTTTCATTAAAATATTTCACCGCCAAATTCAATAACTTTTTTAAACAAATGTTGTACAAAATGAGTTACTATAATATTAACTTTATGGATGATAATATGGGAATGTGGTAATTGCTAAATAGCTATTTATAATATGATTTTTATTGTAATGATGCAACATAATACATGATTGTAAAAAGCCACTGGGTTTTTTGCTGGTTCTTCCCAGGCTTTAGGCAGGTTTATTTTTCGAACCAGTGGTAAATAAAACATAAGTATGACTTTCAATAAGTATTATATATATATAATCCATATTGAATAAAGAATCTATTTTTATTTCTAATATTCGGTGTTTTCCTATGAAATTGCCGTTTTTTATGAAATAGGTTGACGTAATTTTTTTTCTATATTTTTTATTTCTATTAATCAAAGTAATCACCCATGCAATCGATGCATCTTTGCCTACGCAGTGGCAGTTTATTGATGCCCTTCTTGAAGAAATCAGCTGGACGGGAGGCAACAAATTCTTCATAGGCATTTTGTACTCGGGTATTGAATTTTTTACCTGACAAAAAGTTATTTAAATTCTGGAAAAAGTAGAAGTCTGTAGGCGCAAGGTCTGGTGAGTACAGCGGATGACGGAGAGCTTCCAACGCCAGCTCTTGTAACTTGGAGACCGTCTGTTGTGCAGTATGAGGTCGCCCGTTGTCGTACAGGAGCAGCGGGAGGCTGCAGGTGCATTGACCAAACCTGGTTGGAGACGTGTGACCTTCTCCATCATTGTGTTCAATTATTCACAGTACACATCTGCAGTAATGCTCATCCTGTTTGGTAAGAAGCTGCGATGAATCACACCAGCGCTAGACTACCAAACAGTAACCATCACTTTTCTAGGGGTAAGTTTTCGTTTAGGGCATTGTTTAGGTGCTAAACCAGGATCCAAATTAACTTGCTGAGCGCTTGCGATTGTCAAACAAAGTCCAATTATAGTCGCAGGTAAGATGATATGATATGCGGTTCAAAATTCATGTATTTGTGTGCATTTTGAGCCAGTACAAGGCACGTCTCGACGCGTACTTCGCGCTGGCTATCGTTGAGTTCGTGGGGTACCCATTTGTCAAGCTGTTTTACCCCGCTTTTTTGCATCTAACGTCGAAAGCTGCTTCTAATTCAGCCGTAGATTGAGTATCATCAGCTTCCACAATCGTCTTTAATTCGTCATTGTCGACCAAAGTTTACGGACGACCACGGGGTTCATTTTCAGGGCTAAATTTCCAGAACGTAAGCGGGCAAACCAATAACAGGTGGTGCGTTCGTTTGTAGTATTCGCTCAGTAAATGTCGTTGATGTTGCGTGCCACTTGTGCCGCGTTGCTGCCACGACGGTGCTCATATTCCACAATTACTCAAATTTTTAACGTGTTCATGATGACGAAAAAGATTCAAATGCAATGAAAATATATCGGTAATCAATATAGAATGACTAGTTTTGAAAAAAGCATTCAATGTTTTTAAAATAAAATTAATTTGAAATGGCCAGTACTGCAGAACAGCAACTTCATAGGTAAAGACCTATTAATATCTTTATCTATGTCAGCCCGAATTAATATTATTTTGTTCTTTATGGTTTGTGAGGAAAATAATTATCTAGCATTTAGTTAAGATTTAGTTGTAGTTCTTGACACCTACATTGATATTTTGTAGTCACACAGACGCATCGCGCACTGTTAGTATACGCACTCTGGACATGAATAAATTACTGTTGGTGTTTCGCACAAGTTACATTTCATACATCACGCGTTCGTCTTCGTAGGATGTTCATGAATTTCATAAAACACGCATTGTATGTAGCTATTTGCAAACTCTTCTGTGTCATTTGATTGTCACATAGCGAAGTCCGCGAGCCCGTAGTTAATAGCTGACCGCAAAGGGTGGGGCCAGAGTGTACGCTTTATAGGTATTATTTTAACTATTATTTTTTATTTATGAATAAATTTAAATTACCAATGTTTTGTGTAATATGGGAAATGTGGGTTTCATAAATGATCTTTTATTAAAAAATAAAGGTTAAACAATCACAGTGGTTTAAACAACTTATACAGTATGTAACAAACAACCCGTTGGTCGTTTCAAAGACGTATAGGTGTACTATGAATTTGGCGTCTCTAATCAAGTAACTAACTAAATTTAATATATCTCAAAATGTTTATTTGCATCTGAACTAAACGACACGTACCGACATATCTACGCGGCCACTGTGAGGTCTCTGACACGGCTGATACAGCATTTTTTCAAAGCGAGCACGCGCGCACACCCCCAAGGTTTGTGTGTGAAAGATCCCCTCAACTGTATTTTCAAGATGGCGGATCATCTCTTATTTGTTGCTACCATTGCGGCTATTTTTTTTACTGCCAAGGAGAAATACTTACTAGTGTTTTCTTTAAATATATGGGTATAATGTTATGGTTTATACAATAAAGTAGTTATAATAAAAATGTTTTTCGTTTATATTTATAATTTATTATAACATTAGTGCTAAAAGCCAAGTATAATAGTTATTTACAGTATTTTTCTATAGATACAGTTATTCTCAGAAACTTTAAATTTAAAAATAATAGAAATAATAATGAAATTATTTTAATGGTAGTTTATGAAAATTTCATAAATACCTAATAATCTTGTTCTTACTTATTTTATATGATAAATTATCTTACAAAAATCATGTTATGGAGTCATTTAACGAGAAAAATTCTTAGTCCCGCTACGTAGACGACGATGATTTGACGAGTTCTAACAGTTTCTAAAATGATGTTGAGATCAAGTATACATAGTTCACTCATTTATTATGATCTATCAAAGTCAACTACTGAACACAAGTCTATCCAATGGATAACCTCGTAAAAGGGTATTTTTCATAGTTTCCACTTTGGAGGGTTGGTTTTTTTACTTTAGATCTAGTTGTTGTTAGGAAGATGCCGTTACCCATCTCCTGGTTTCCATCTGCCTTTTACCACACCCACGGAATGATTTGGAGTAGTGCATATTCTTTCACCGCCAATACACATTGTTATTGAATACTTATATTATATTAACCACGTTATTACTAATTAGAGATTTGGGAAAAATATTTAAAAAAAATAGGTTGTTTCATGTATAAAATGTTGATTAATTTCAAACTTGCAATTATTTGTAGGAGGTATTATGCATTTTTCATGTGAAACTTTATTCGATAAAGAATATCTAACAGAAATTATTTTTTAAATAGATCCATATTAAAAGAATGTAATATATAATACACAAAATAAAATTACTATGAAATAAGCGGCGTATCGCGCGATCCTCAAACTCAAACCCGCTTACCTTAGGACTTTAGTATAGGAAAATCCCCAAAATTTACACGCACTTCGAGTGATCTCAAAAGTATCGTCTAGACTGACTTATCTTGAGCCCGTGTTTTTTCATTGTTATTAAAACACATGGAAAGTTTAATAAACATACAATTTTGTCACAATTCACGTTTTCTCATGAAAAGACCGTTAAAAAATGCCTATGTTAATTAAGGTTTTTGTATTTTAGAAGGTTATTGCAGATGTAATCAATCCACATATAACTTACAAGTGTTATTTTATTTAAATTTAATTTGATTATATTTATGTTGATTTTTCTGAAGTAAAATTATTTATATACGTTTGAGTTATTGTTACCTTACCTTATCTTCACGCACAATCCCTGACGGGGTAGCCAGAGAGAACAGATCGCCAAGTGTCACGATCCTTACAAACCTCTTTCGCTTCTTTCAGATTCATTATCTTCTTCATGCATGCACGTCTAGGTATCCGAGTACTTTTGACCCTACCCTCTTCGAGCAATTTGCTCACATGGTCTTCGAAAGTTAGTCTCGGTTTACCTCGACACCTTTTAATATTAACTTTCGCGCTATATATTTTCTTCACCATTCGGTCTTCACTCATTCGCTCAACGTGCCCAAACCACCGAAGCACGCCCTTATCAATTTTTGTGATAAGGTCATCTTTCAAACCTGCCATATTGCGAATCTCTTCGTTTCGCTTTCGGTCGGCCATGGTAACGCCGCACATTTTACGAAGAGATCGCATCTCCACTCCATTCAACTTGCTTTTATGCTTCTTCTTTCAGTTATTGTTACATATTGTATTTTATCGGCACTAATCAAAAACCATAATATAAGAAGACTTATATATTTATAGGATAGAGTGACAAACGAGCACACAGTCCACCTGATGGTAAGAGGTTGCTGTGACCCATAGACATCCACATCTATCCTCAATAAAGAATCAAAATGCAGATGCGTTCTCACCCGTGAGGACTAAGATGGAATGCCTCTGTGTCTTGATATTCTAATGCCTCAATTTAAATTTAACCACTGCAATAATAACCTCGGCATAAGATATTACTAAAATAACCTAAACGTCATCGTAATCGGATGGTAACCTCAACAAAAACCCGACGAGTCACTCAGGACTTATCGAGAAGTTCTGGATTCATATCACAATGGGTGGACCCCACACAGGGTAACCTACTGATCAACAATTTACTCAAGGTCCAGATCATAGACCCCACTGCACCGGTTGAGTCGAGTCCTAAAACAAGACTGCTTGCTTTGCGAGTCTCCGAGTGATTCATATGCTTACATTACATAATTTGATTTTTTTTTATTCTAATAACTTTCTTTGCATTTTCCCATATTATATACTTTCCCAAATTATTGCCTTTTTATTTGAATTAGTAAAAATCATGAACAGTGAATGTGTTATCTCACGTT